GGGGTGGTTGGCTTACTTACCTAAGGAATCCAGCGGCAAAGAGTTCTTTGATTTTATTTTTGTTTATTTATTTATTTGTTTTTTCATGGCAAAGGAATACAACGAGGATCACAACTAACAACCAACTGCGGACCTAATAGTTCATTCATAAATTAAGTTAACGGTTGCAAAAATAGCAAAAACCCAACCTTAAATATACACTGGCCTTTCTGTAATAAAGACTCTTAGTATTTAGTGAGGGCACTTTTAATGGGTTTACAATGAACATCGGCAATAACGTTCGTAACCCCGCGAGTCAAAAGTGATACAAATTTTCCAAAATGCCCAGTTTGCTAACATCGTTAAAATAAGGACTCATCTGACCGCATAAACACGCATAGTAAGGCGTAAATAAGAGGGACGGAGATAGGAAAACATTTTCGTTCCATAATATATCTGCCGCGATGTGTATGTATTATACAAATTTTGAACCTCAATCTATGTTAGTTGTTGGCATTTAACGAATTAACGCGACACGCAAAAGCTTTGTTGAAAAGGCAGAAGGGTGCTTAGCGCGAAACATTTTTCGTCTTTCTCATTTAACCATAAGATCAAAATCACGCTTAAGTCAAAAACTAAGCAAGATGATTTACTGACTAACGCTAATACTGTGAATACTGTGTGAGAATCACGATGACACTTGCCATTTAGCGGGGAGACCCGCTTACTCAGATCACGGCTTGATCGTATCCTGGCATGAGCCCGACCTGTCGACTTGGTAAGTAGATGGGATGAAACTGCAATCGAAGTTTTCCTCCATTCACACCAAAATTTTTATTTGCCCAAGTTTGATAACTCGAGACTGAAGGCCTTTTTGACCATTCAGCTTGAGCAAATAATAAGCCTTCCAGAATAAAATTTGGACATGGCATCAAATAAAATTATAGCTTCTTCGCTCGTGCCTTAGTTCGCCTTACGATTCCTGGCAACAAACTGGTTGAACATTTCTACCTTGCAGGTATTTTTTTGTTTCTTTTCTTTCATGCAGTTCGACACGAATTGAAAGAAAGGAACGACTATTTCCTCTAGCAGTTAACCAGTTCCAATTTTCAATTTGTCTTGGACTTAATACACTGTGCAGTTTTCTTGTTATAAAGGCCGGGAAACAAATCATTCAGGCTTACGTATGCCAAAAGTGCAGCAACAAAATTTTAAGCCATAATTTTCACACAGTTTTAAGGAAGGGGAACCCACAAGGTTTTTTTTTTTTTTTTTTTAGCCTAGGAATCATATGCTATTTAAAGAAGTAGATACCATCAAAAATGAAAGCTGAGCTTGTTAGGACAGCTGACAGCTTATTTTAATAGTGAATATTGCTTCTCTTGTGCTCTGAATGGATTGCATTATGAAAGGAGTTCATCTAGTCCAAGATTTAAATTAGCGCCCAAGAGATTTTTTCCATTTTAGAAAATTTTCAGACGGTAAATCAAGTTCTAGGCTCTTTGTTATAAACTTCCCCTCTTGAAGATCCTAAATGGAGCGAGCTCGAGAAACTATCCAACACTACTATCATGATTCGCGTTCACTTGACGAATAATTGTCAAGTATTCTTGGGCCGAAAAACCGCAAGAACCCTATAATTTCCGCTCGCAAATACAACCAACATTGTCCATGGAAGACGGACAAAATTTTGTAAGTGTCCCAAACGTTTTAAACAAAATTGTAGGTTAACAAAAGTAAAATAAAATAATAAATGGATATCCTCTTTCTGCAGGCTGAAAGATTTTTAGAGGCCATGTTTCTTCTCAGATTCAAGTTACGCAAACTAAGGCGTCGTTGTCGAGTAATCCCTCGGCAATATCCAACCTTTTTGGCCTTATTTATTTTCTACGTGTATTCTATAAGCAACTGGATGCCTGAATTTACCACAAGTAACGTTCCGCTTTTGGATGTGGTCATGTCCACACGAAGGATCAACTTGTCTTTGACGGAGCCGTGTCCTACCAACACGCGGGCTACATGCGAGGGCTGTGTGCCCTGTCCTTCAGAGATGTTTAGACTTCCCGGATGGAAAGACTGTATTCCTTGGTTGAACTGCTCTGAAATAGCAGTTCAAGTTCATCTCAGGAGGCGATTTACTCATGGAGTGACTAAACGCGTTTGGCGCGCGGAATGGAATGGATACGACGTTGTTTTAATTAAATGCTCATCCCGAAAGAGTAAAAGAGAAAACTGTGTAAAAGGATTGACTAATTTGAAGCTCATTCAGGGAGAATTTGCAACTCGAGTCATTGGCAATTGTCCAGAGAAGTTCCAGGTACCTAATGCTCGCCGAGTATTTAATTTGTAATGGTGATTTATACCGAGTGAAACTAATAATTATAAATCACAATCATCATCGTTCGAAACGCGCACGATCGATAACACTTTTGGCCCCGCTGTCGAAACTCTCATTCTCAAAACACAGCTCTTTATATAACGGCAATTAAATAGATTTTTTCATTTAATGAAAGCTTATCAACGTGCAGCATTTTTTTATTGAGTTATAAGTAAAAAATTAGCTGTCTTGAACCCGTTCCATGTTTCTCCCTTACTTTTTTCACACTTGCATATTTAATTTTCCCCCCGGACCAACCTGTTTCCAGCTAAGGTGTTAATTTCATGCGCGTTATTTTAACATTTGATCACTCAAGTTGTTTTAAAGGTTGTAGTCTGAATTTTTACTTCTTTTTGTCTACAACACACTTCTGTCTAGATAAGTAAGATTATCGTCTTGGTTGTAAATTCTGTCGGAAGCGTCTTGCTAAGTAGACTTGCCTCACCTCTCGAATCCGCTAGGCGTTATTATTCTTCATTGAACAACAAGTTTGCGGCCGGGTAAAGATCTGGCACCAAGTACAAAATCGTCTCTTGAGTGGAGTTTAGACATATACAATGTATATTGCAAAGCATCAGGGGCGGATCCAGGATTTTTTTTAAGAGGGGGTGCACTCGTCTCTTGCTCTTCTTCAACACCAATAGGCCACGTGGTTTTTTTTTTTTTTGCAGAATACCAGTTGTATTAGAAAACCGCAGGTCTTCTCAGGGGAGGGTGCGCACCCCCTGCACCCTCCCCCTAGATCCGCCCCTGAGCATTGTTTCTTAACAATAACCTACGGTTATAGAACAATAATTGAGGTACAAGTTTATTGAATCAAATTTATTTAGATGTAGTTAGCCGGAATTCTATTCAGTTGGAAACCTATTTTTTTAGGCAAAGAATTCAGTCATCTTCATTGTTTTAGTTTCTTTCTTTGCTTCTTTTTTTTCATTTTTGCAGATGGTCACGATGTACTACAAGCATGGCACGCTAAGGTTCCTAGACAAGCTCTTGCGTCGTCCCGAGCTATTTCATTACAACAATATACAAACAAGATTTCAGCTGTGTGTGGATTATGTCAGGGTTTTGGCGTACCTACACAACAGTCCAATCGGAGTTCGTGTAATGTGTGATACACCATTCCTCGAAAAATTACTCGATCAATATTTGATAACAGACGACTTTCACCTGGTTGTCAATGACGTGGATGGATTAGAAGAAGTAACAAAAAAAGGAGCATGCCACAAAAGACCTGCTAATGATTCACTTCAGTCACGAATGGAAATGGAGAGTCAGGGATTGCCAACTGCGACAGAACCACTTAATTTTCAATTGAGACCAGCATACGATGAAAAAATTGACATCTGGAAAATTCCTTGGGTCGTGGAAAAGTTACTTGGTAGTGTAAAATGGAGCAGTTTTGCAAAAAGTGAGCTTCAAGAAATCATGGAAAAGTGCCATGCAGTTGATCCTCGGCAAAGGCCTTCTGCGAGTGAGGTACTACAGGAGATGTTGAGAGTCCAGGAATTACTGTCATTTTGGAAGTATTCGTCACTGGACGTTGAGGATCAACTTAATATGAGTCAAAACTGAATGACTCGTCAGTTAGATAAAATTTGATGTTACGGGTTTTTTGACATGAATTTAGTGGCGGTCAGTCGGTTGAGAAAAACGGTGGCGAAAGTTGTCAAGAACGGGCGAGAGAGCCTCTGAGATGCTTCTCTAAATGAACCATTTCTACGACTCATTCGAATACTCGTCTCTGATTGGGCACACAAAATGTTTATGTGTCCAGTTGGAGGCCAGCATCTATCGCGCTTCTTTCGTGATCTTCTTATACGAGGCACTAATTACCTGCAAACTCTACTGTACGCCTTACCTCTCTGGCCCGGGTTGCTCGAAGCATGGTTAGTGCTAACCGGCGTTAAATACCATGGAAACCTATACATTTTGATACCTCTTAACTAACGGTTAGAGCTAACCAGGCTTCGAGCAACCGGCCCCTGGCTGGTACATGAGAGCTTTCTTCAAAAAGAGTTTTGAGCGAAAATGGGGCCCACAAAACCGAAGAAATCCCATTAGCATGTTAGCAAGACAAAACGAAACGAAGCGAAACGAAAAATACACCAACCAAAGATATAAAAATAACATTTGAAAAAAGTCTTGGTTGTAAGTAGCCTTAAGCTATTATTAGTCCTAGGTTACCTTGGAAACACTTTACAATAAACCAGGCCTTAATTAATTACACTGCGCGATGATAACGGGGAGGGTAACGTTCATGTCGTTGTCGTTGTCGCTGAGGTGTGTTACCATGACGCCATGAGTCTTCGAATATTTTGTTGATGCAGCATATCCCTGCAACAGAATCAATCAATTGTTAGTGGTCATTGCATCAAGGAAAACAGGCAAAAATCTGCCCACGTCTACCAAGCAGCCCACGCTACTGACGGTCCCCCTGTCCAGTCCCTGTGAAAAGTGTGTAGTTCTCGATTTCGAGAATTCAATAGCAGAGAGTTTTTCTCGCGTAGTCTCGAGGCCGATGTGTTTTGGGTCAAGTGAGAGTTCCTGATTGTTCCTCTCCGATATAGCCTGTGTACAGACGTCCCCTCCTCCCTCAGGAAAAAATCGGGAGTGGCCGCCGAGAAGGCCTGGGGAGATGCCTCACTCTGTGGGAAAATAAGGTGGTCTCAGGCTAATGACTTATAAAAAAGGATAATAATTTAAATTTGGAATCGCTTAATGAATTTATTGATAGTATTGCTTTTTCTCGAGATTAGTGACCGTTTTATGTCGTCTTCAAGTTTTAAGGTTACCAGGAGCCGATTTTTCACAGCGCATCAACACGAAGACGAGTAGAGAACGTCGTTAGCGACAATCAGGGCGGATATCCGCCCTAGTGACAATAGAGCTCTTTAGATTCTAAGATGTGTACAACAACGATTTGGAGATTAATTCTAAGTAGTGCCAGCGTTATTTTAGCGGGAAAACGCGATAGCCGTCGTCATTCTGCTACGAGTTTTTCCAAGAATAACGTAGTGATGGAGACAATTTATTAAATGTTAGAAATTTCGGATCGCTATAGTGGTTAATCTCCTCCAAAAAAGATAACTGTGCTCACTTTTTTGATGAAAAAAGGTCCAATGAAGAATTCCGGGGTGTCTATTTTTGATAATACGCGAAAAAACTTAAAATCAACTCTCGTACTTGTAGTCGTTCCCGTCCTCGAACAAGAGCCATAACTCGAATCTAAAGGTCTCTAAAGTAAAAGTTTTACTGGAACAGAAAAGAAAGTCTTTGGCGTATTTCTCAGTCCTTACTAGAGGGAAGAGAGAAAGTTGACATATTGCTCAATTTCGTGGTTGGTATCTTCAGTGTGGTTTAAAACGCAGTGTCTAAAACAAAGGCAAAATGTCGTTTCAGACACCATATTTAAAACATTATTATGAAAACAGAAAATCCAAAAACTTTTAGAATGCATTCGTTGAAACTGAATCCCGAAAGTATTCAGTCCTATTCCGGATTAAGATTAAGCACCTTCAGAGTGACTGCAGTTGTGGAGTACCAACTTTTGTGAAGTAAGCCTAAGGGTGTTTTCGTGTTTTTCTTTTCTTTCCTTGTTGTTTTGAGTGGTGGGGGGCATTTCGTGTTCAGCTGCAGCGGTCACAATTTTTTTTTCTCTGTGACCCTACATCTCTGTATTTGGTAACAATTTTTTCAAAACTTGAATTTGCAGCAAGCATTATGAAGACACAAAGCTTGAATAAATTAGTCTCAAAGACCCCTTGCTATTTTCATTAACCTTTGAAGAGCCACTCCATATGACCTTGTGGTTACTATTAGTGCAGATGTTCTCACTACCATTAAGCTACAGGAGATTCGGGAAATAAGGCCACTGAAGTAGCCTTTGAAGATTAGTTTTGTGGTTGGGGCGTTGTTGGGTCATTTATCTGTTTTTTTTTTTTTTTTGTCGGCTTTTAAATTAATCAACTGGTTCTCAGAGCCTCGTAGAACCGTGTGATTATTGAAGCCTCTTTCATTCTGTTTTGTGCAAAGGGAGTCTTCCGAATTGGCGCGCTTTTTTACCCGTTAAGCTGCCATTG